GGACCACACCGTATGGCACGAGGAGGCAGGGATGCGCACGGCTCCCACCGCACCGGGCCAGACCGGCCGTATGCAGCAGCAGGCCGCGACGAGACGAGCAGCGGCGAACCCGCAGAAAGAGCCCGCAAAGGAGGAGAGCGGCAAAGACCCACGGACCACAGCACGAGACCCGCAGCAGGTGCAGCGACGTGGAGGAGGAGCAGACGACACGCAGCAGGACCGAGGACAGCAGGGACACGCACGAAGTAAGTGAGAGTAGAACAAAGCGATTCCTCCAGAACGACTCTTTGCAAGGCTTCGCTCTTTGCTGCAGGCTTCAAGAGGCCGAGAATGGGAGTTCCTCCGCTTTTAAGCAGCTTGCCTGGCTGGACCGGTGATTGGAAGGGGGCGTTTGCCGTGCGATAGGCTGGGGATGAGAACCGGCCTGGAGGGGTTACCTTTGGCTGACGTCTACCAAATTGAACTTACGCTGGCTGCATTAGGCCAATACACTAAATTGCATGTTTACCTTTATTGCCGCTTGGATTCATGAAGTAGTGATGGGCAGCGGGGTAATGCATCAGCCTACGCTACAAAGTTGCATTGACGCAGCGCACCTGTGCATGAGACATGAGCACCGAATCTAATGTAGGTTTTCCAATGATAATTAGTATTGGACAATAGCGGCATGAAATGTGAGTGCAAGCCAACCTATAAAGGTAACGGATAGCTATAATTTACCGTTTGGTGGAGGCTTAACTGACCAGGTAGATGCTCATGTCCCCGTGCGTGCTCTGCGCTCGCTTTTATGAGCAATCGCGGTCAGCGAGGCGTGTGGTCATTGTGTGCTTTTGATGTGATTTATGCTCATCAGAGATGTGAACTTGGCAAATTTACTAAAACTGAACCAAAGTCTACACCGTTGTGGGCTCACAACTATTCAACTATCCTTTTACACCATGTTTGTGTTTGCATGTCGGTTTAAAATAATGGATACACACACTAGATGCTGGTCAAATTTGTTAAAGTCCTTTGTCTTAATATGGGCCAGTACTATGGTAAGTACCTGGTACTTGCTGTATAATTACTGGTGTTATCATAAGTACTTGTATTGAAGTTATTTGTCTTAATATGGGCCAGTTCCTATGGTAAGTACATGGTACTTACCGGTAAGTACCTGGTACTTGCTGTATAATTACTGGTATTATCACTGGTACTTATGGTTAAGTCCTTTGTCTTATTATGGGCCAGTTCCTATGGTAAGTACCTGGTACTTGCTGTATAATTACTGGTGTTATCACTGGTACTTATGGTTAAGTCTTTGACATATTACTAAGTCATTTGTATGTGGCCAAGTCCTTTGTCTGTGGCTAGTACCAGGTACTACCTGGTACTTGCTGTATAATTACTGGTATTATCACTGGTACTTATGTTAAAGTCCTTAGTCTTATTATGGGCCAGTCCCTATGGTAAGTACCTGGTACTTACTATATAATTACTGGTGTTATCACTGGTACTTATGTTAAAGTCCTTTGTCTTATTATGGGCCAGTCCCTATGGTAATTACCTGGTACTTACTGTATAATTACTGGTGTTATCACTGGTACTTATATAGAAGTTATTTGTCTTAATATGGGCCAGTTCCTATGGTAAGTACATGGTACTTACCGGTAAGTACCTGGTACTTGCAGTATAATTACTGGTATTATCAGAGGTGTGGACTCGAGTCATGTGACTTGGACTCGAGTCAGACTTGAGTCATGATTTTGATGACTTTAGACTCGACTTGACCAAATGTAAAAAGACTTGCAACTCGACTTGGACTTTAACATCAATGACTCTGACTTTCACTTGGACTTGCGCCAATTGACTTGCAAAGACTTGCGTAACCCGGGCCATTTTTACCTTTCTCCGCATCTCTCTTTCTATCTATGCCGTCTCTGAAGAAACAAAGCCTCGCGGTAGTTGTAGCGCTCGCGAGAGAGTTCGAACGTGAGTTCCCCGCAGTTCGCGCACTGCATTCACCGGTGGGTGTGTTGTCGTAGGGGAGCTGGAAATGAGCGAGCTGCAGGTATTTATCGCGACCTAACGTCATATTTTGTTCTACAAACCGTAATTGATATGCTTTCACTACAGGCGCCTCATACAATTGAATCGACGCAGTTGTCACACTCTGTGCCGTGTTTTAAAGAGGAACTGGTGAGTAGAACTAGCGCTAGCCTGCGCTGCTCTGTTGGCTATTTCTTATATTTTTCTGTGTGGGCGCCGAGGCCTATTATTATGAGTATGTTTTTGCTGTGCTCCTCCTGCTAAAGTTTGCATACATTAGATAGTTGTTTTGAGTATGTGCACTAAGCTAGATTAATATTTGCACTATTGTTTATGGTGCATTGATATGAGAATCAGTGCTTTGACTGATTGAATTAATTTATATGAGACATTTTATTATGTAATGATATATTGGTAATTATGAGATATTACTAATGCTGGTCCAGTTCATACAGGCCAGGGTCCTTCCCCTCCATTGGTCCCTTCAGTCCTTTGGAACAATAACCACTACGGACATTAAACTGATTATATAGATACAGGTCCTAGCCCAATACTGAGATTAATTGATTATAATATAAGCATACTATTCATATATGCTGCACTTGCTACTTCCCATTAAAAACCCCAAAGATAAAAAGTATGTTGACACGGACTGCTCTGATTTTATGTGTGGTCTGTGCATGTGTAACTGAGCCTGCATCTGGCACAACATCCAATTAGATCACGTAGATAGTTTTGATTTATCAGCAGCCAACGACATGGAACAAACTGTTAGTCCATGGGTCAGAGACCAACGAGAATGCACCAGCAAAATGATTCCTAACATTATTTTGTTTGCCTACAAAAGTACGTGGAGACCAACAAGAAACAAATCGCGGTCAAAAAGACTCGAGAGGACTCGAAAGTCAAACCGTAGGACTTGGGACTGACTTGAGATTTGTTGGCCTTTGACTTGGACTCGACTCGGGACTTGCCTGTCTTGACTCGTGACTTGACTCGGGACTTGAGGGCAATGAATTGAGACTGACTTGTGACTTGCTAAACAATGAATTTGTCCCACCTCTGGGTATTATCACTAGTACTTATGGGTAAGTCCTTTGTCTTATTATGGGCCAGTTCCTATGGTAAGTACCTGGTACTTGCTGTATAATTACTGGTGTTATCACTGGTACTTATGGTGAAGTCTTTGACATATTACCAAGTCATTTGTATGTGGCCAAGTCCTTTGTCTGTGGCTAGTACCAGGTACTACCTGGTACTTACTGTGCTGCCAAGTACCTGGTACTTGCTGCCAAGTACCTGGTACTTGCTGCCAAGTCTTACTGGTGTGTTAATGTGTAATTCTTGTTACTTGGGTTGGGTACCTAGTTCTTGCAGTGTTTCCCTTGTCCTTGAAACTTGTTTTGAAATATGCATTAAATGTATTTATACTGTCCTTTCTGTGCTACTTATTCCATATTAATAAAGACGTTTGTTTTACATAATGTTGTTTTATGTTTTATAGTCAAACAATCCTACAAATGACCTCTGTATGTATGTATGTAGAAGAAGTACAACATTTACTACATAGGAATAATGCTGTAGTATCCTTGAATAACTAAGTTACAGCTGTATCTAGAATTATCACAATAAGTACCTAGAAGTACCACTGTAAGTACCTCTGTAAGTACCACAATAAGTACCTAGAAGTACCACTGTAAGTACCACTGTAAGTACCTCTAAGTACCACTGTAAGTACCTAGAAGTACCACTGTAAGTACCTCTGTAAGTACCACAATAAGTACCTAGAAGTACCACTGTAAGTACCACAATAAGTACCTAGAAGTACCACTGTAAGTACCACAATAAGTACCTCTAAGTACCACTGTAAGTACCACAATAAGTACCTAGAAGTACCACTGTAAGTACCACAATAAGTACCACTGTAAGTACCTCTAAGTACCACAATAAGTACCTAGAAGTACCACTGTAAGTACCTCTGTAAGTACCGCAATAAGTACCTAGAAGTACCACTGTAAGTACCTCTGTAAGTACCACAATAAGTACCTAGAAGTACCTCTGTAAGTACCACAATAAGTACCTAGAAGTACCACTGTAAGTACCTAGAAGTACCACTGTAAGTACCATGGACTTACCGGCCCGTAATGTAAAGTGTTACCTATATTTATTTGATTTCAGAGTAATATTTAGCATATCAATGTAAATATTTAGTTTTTATTGTCCAAAATGAATGTATTTATTAATTTATTTATTTATTTATACTTTAGTCATTTTTGGTCCTCCATAAGTAATAGGAATAGTTGGAAATACTCAAAAATGTAACAGAGGATGTAGATGTGAGCTGTTTTTCTGGAAGTTGGATCTGCTCTCACTGCACACTCTGGGAGGACTTCAGCAAATTCATCATAGACCATCTTGATAACAATGATTGATGGATTACTTTAAAAATGGGAAAATGTTCATGTTGTTTATGGAGCTTTTTCGAACATTTTTTACAAAATTCTTCTCCTCAGACATTGTTCAAGCCCACCACAAGACCTTCCCCACCGACTCCAACTGATGTCTGCTGTTGTTGTGTCCTTGGGCAAGACACTTAACCCCACTTTGCCTGAAGCCTCTACTGACTCAAGGCTGTGTCGTTACTGACAGAGAAGCCATCCTCCTGTGGACTCACCACGGAGGATGGTGGATCAGTGAGGGGTTGGTGCAGCTCTGACTGCCACGCCCCCACCCAGAAATGGCTTAAGGGGAAGAATGATGGATGGATGGATGGATAAACATATATTAATCATGCATACAATATTCCGTCTTCATAAATAACCAGAAACCTGTCTATGAACATGTTTACAACATTTGAATCTTTATTTTTTTTATTCCTAAATTTCTGAGGCTGTGTATGTCGGTTACCCACAGTGTGAAGTGGAGGAGTTCATGTCACCCATGTTTGTTTTGTTTTTGAAAATACTCCAGCTTTACTGCTCGCTCAGAAGACCTCGAGTGTTCATGGGTCTCACCTGCAGATGTTTGTAGACCATGTCAGGCAGCTCCTGGCCGTAGTCTTGCAGCAGAGCGATGGTTTGCTGGATGGGCTCAAACATGGCATCAGTGGTTTGTTGGCGGCTTTTGACTGCGAGCAGGTGAGAGAGGAGGCCTACGAGAGCGCTGTACTCTCCCTTCTCCACGTGCTGCTCCAGGCCCTGTCCTGTGTCACTGATGAACTGCTCCAGCTCAGACAGACTGCACACAAAGACACGGGGATGGTATATTTAATCTAATCTAATGTCTTTCCACGGTTCTTACCTGAGAAACTATTTTTTCTGCATTTTGACAGCTGCAGCTTATAGTCAGGAGCGGCTTGATATTTTTTTCTTTGTTGCGCCAAAAACATTTTGCCAAGTAACAGTAGACCAACAGAATGGATGAGCAGTTCACAGAAGTCCAATTCAATTTTAAGATATGTTATTCAAGCAGAATAAATACAGTTGAAAAGTCCTCACTTATAATATCTTGTGTTTGTTTTTCAAATAACAAATAGTTTTTTGGTTCTTTGTATAGAGCATGAAAGTGAAAAAGACCAGTAGATGTTGCTTCTTACCTTTCTGCTTCATACAGGAAGATTAAGAACAGTCAGAGACTCACTTCTTTCTCTTATCACAGTAAAAAGAAGGCATGATGAACGTTTTTGAGGTATGTTTTCCAATTACAATGTGGGATAGGTGCGGCTTATAGTCCGTAAAATACGGTAGTCATAGCCCAGTGTCAGAAGATATACAGCGCAGGCCGAAAAAAACGATTTGGCCGTTTACGATTGTGCAAGTTCAATTTAAACAATGAGAGGGGTCTTTGTTACAATACTTTATCCTGAGTCATTGGTGTACCGTGTATGTGCATGATGCCAGTATGGCTCTGGGAGGTCACCTGTTGATCACATGCTCCATAAGGTGCTGCTTGAACATGGAGCTCCACTTGTTGACGGTGTTGAGCAGTGCGGCCTTCATGGAGCTGGAGTCCACCCTGAGCCAGCCGTGGAACACATAGACCGTCTGGAGAGCTTGGATCTCCTCATACAGCTTTTCATAGCTACACAACAGCAAACCATTCTTCATTAAACATTTTTATCCAGAAATTCAGGTCACAATGTGTTCATTAGTTGTATGCCTGTAGGAAGGTGTTATATTATAGCACTATAGGATGGGGAATTATTTTCTCAAGGATATAATCATATTGTGGAGCGCCAGATTAACTTTCCATTTGTTGAAAAGGGAGCCAAGGCAAATTAATCCACAGAAACGATAAGTAAAATTCCAGCTTCGCCTGATGTGTTTATGGATTCAAGCAGAAACAACAAGGCTCAGAGCGGCGATTGCCCTAAGTCCATTGTTGCGCATGTACACTCTGCTGTACCCGAGTCACTTTTCTGATTTTTGTTCCTGCCTGAACTTCAGTCCGTCTCCTGGTTGCTGCCATTTGAGTGGAGACATGTCGTATGGCCAATGAGATCTCAGGCCGCATCAATCTGATCAGCTGATCACCCCGCGGCTTATAAAACAGCGATGCGATGTCCAGACGGGGCGGCTTGATTCCAGTGCAAGTGCACCACTTGTTGGGAGGCAGACATGTTTTGTTGAGCGCTGACCTAAAAGAATTAGAGACTTGAGAGAATTTGGACTTGTGTGTTTGACTTAAGATATTGAGAAGATCTTTTGTTCCTCTATATACCAGGTACTTTGAAGATCTTTTGTTCCCTTTATCTTTTTAACTTGTTAGAGCTTCTTTGTTTGACTTTAAGTTTTGTAAATACATTTCTACTTTAACCTTTTCTGCCCTAAAATAAAAAAGGCCATTTAATTTTGACACCTCATTTTCATGCTACAATCCCTTTGCCTTCACGAGCCACGTTTAGGGTTGTGATACCAATCCACGCTGATGCTATATATATTTCGAAGAAATAAGTCTTATATGTTTGTGTTTCGTCTCAGTACGTGTCAGAAATGGAAACTCCAAAGAACATGCCACAGGGAAACAGGTCCTCCATCACTGGACACGCCCCCTCCATTTGTGGGGCTAATAGATAAACTATATTTATAATACAAAAGTGCCTCCTCTTTTAAGTTTTCAAATCCAAATGTTTGTTTTATTGGAAGTGGTGGAATTTTTTTTACAGCATGTACAGTACAACTCGACAACAAGGATTTGATATGCATCATATATTAATTACTCCAGTCTCATTGACCCAGGGGTTGAATACCTATGAAGTGTTTGTTTGATAGTAATTTTGTCTAAAACCACCATCCACAGACTCTGAGCTTTCACCCGTTCAGTCACAAGCCAAGTGCTCAGAACCAAGACTGATAGAGACTGTGTAATACATTTGTATCATACTAATACTTCACTTCAAAAAAATCTACTAAATCCCTTTAAACAATAATTCTGACACGCAAAAATTGTCCTTTACTGAACGTCAGATCAATCTCCTAAAAATCCCTTTTGATAAATTAGTTCATTAGAGACAACAAACTGTATTTTCTTGCACTCCTGAAGACATGGCTCCAACAAAATGACTAAGTCAAATTGTTGTTTTAATACCAAAGGCCAGAACCACTGAATCAGTCAATAGTAAAAGTCATTCTATGTGACTGAGTAGCATGAGTCCCAAGGAGTCCCCCTCGAGTCTTTCAAATCTGTATTGGAAACTACCAAGTCGTAGGAGACGACTGCTGTTGCGAAGTAGAGCTATACAAAAATTAATTATAGTGAAATTAATTCCGGTCGAGAACACTATAAAGAATAATGATTTATGTCATATACAAGTGCATTGTAGTATTTGGGATGCGTTCTTACCGGTCCACCTGCTCTCTGAAGCAGTCCAGCGTGGGCGGGCTCTCTGGGATGCTGCCAGGTGTGTTCATCTTCCTCTCGTGATCAGTCAGCACATGTCCATGGAGGAGAAAGAGCCTCAGGACCTCTCTGCGATCCTCCACATAAAGGTACGCGTATTGTTCCAGAGAGCTGCGGTACTCACAACAGGCAGTCACCACACTTTGCACACGACTCATGAGCAGAGCATGCATGTCCTGCAGCTCAGCCATGTCCTCCATGTCAGCCTAGAGATCAACAGACATCAAGCAAAAGGAGCATGAGCCAACTATTTACTGTATAAAGCCATCTCTAGAACTGAATCTACTTTATAAGACTCCTCTTTACAAGCACTCAGGTATTTGTCATTGAGAGGTTTTGCTTCTCCTTTGTATAATAAGTTGTGCAGTCAATCATTGAAAATATGTAATTGCGATTGATGTCATAGTTAACTTCTCCTGTTCTAAATGTCCCCTCATTTGGATTGAAAAGGCATTCAGTGAAGCATGAATCTTATGTTAATCCAATTGAGAATGAGGAGTCACGTGCCGAGTTGGGGTGATTTGGGGGGGGCTCTGAGCCTGTCGGACATATTGGCTGCGCAACGGGGGCACGCCCCCAGAATTTCACGCGCTCCTCATATTCCAGAGCACTTTAAATTATACGCATTTACGTTTTCGGCGAGACAGAGACGGATCTACTGATACAACAAGGGAAAGGAAGACAGTAAAACAATGCTTAGAGATAAGGCGAAAGAGAAGGGACCGTACAGGAACAAGCTCATACCAAGCGCAAAACAGAGGTATTTGGAGAAGCTTGCGGACATCAAAAACATCGACCCATACGAGCTCCCTGCAGCGGAATGGCACAGAAACCTGGACCATTTACCTCCGTGCACATACATGGACATAGTAAACTACCTTGTATTTGGTGTAAGTTACTACACGATGCAGGAGTTTAAAATGGCCATGGTTTTGCCCTTGTTGTGCAGAATAGGTTTTTCCTATTTCTTAAAATTGTATTATTGTTATTGCTGTGTGCCTTTGCAGTGTTTTTTTGTACATTTGCACTAATAACAGTCTTATTTGTTATTATTATGTTATAATTTATTTTATTATGTTGTGCATGTTTACATGCTGGAAACAGTACTTTGAATGCACACGTTGTTTTGCAGTGTTTTGTGTCCCTTTGCACTAAGAAAAGTATGACTCTTATGATCATTTTTGCCTATGCTGTGCATGTTTACATGCTGGAAACAGTACTTTGAATGCACACGTTGTTTTGCAGTGTTTTGTGTCCCTTTGCACTAAGAAAAGTATGACTCTTATGATCATTTTTGCCTATGCTGTGCATGTTTACATGCTGGAAACAGTACTTTGAATGCACACGTTGTTTAGCAGTGTTTTGTGTCCCTTTGCACTAAGAAAAGTATGACTCTTATTATCATTTTTACCTATGTTGGGCATGTTTACATGCTGGAAACAGTACTTTGACTGCACACGTTTGTAACAAAAAAAATATTAATTTCTCAATAAATATTGGTAAACCATATCAAGTTGTTTCATGCATTTATTTAAAAATAAAAGATACAGTAAAGAATAAGGTACTCAAACAACACTTTTGCACATGTTCGTTAAGGCACAGCAAACAATGACAATCTTATCCAAAGGCATTAGGTTTTCACCCTCACATTTGACAAGCATGTGCACAGGTACAGTTGAGTGTAAGAATTTGAATTTGTTGCGCACAACACCGATCACCCTCTCCACGTGAATTCTGAGATGTGCTATGGCCCTAGTCTCCTCCACATCTTTCGCCTCAAGCTGAGCACGACCCCTGGTGAATGTAGGTATTTTCACTTCAGCATACATCATGCCCACATGTTCTCTTATATTAAAGCCTCTATCTGCCAGCACAATGTCACCTGGTAACAGCTTGTTCAGGAAACCACTTTGCTCGATTATATGCTTGTCGCTTGTGCGCCCACCCCACCCGTTCGATATGAAGGAAATTACACCCTGGGGCGTGATCACGATTAGGTATTTCATAGTGTATGCGTGTTTGTATTGAGAAAAAGTCTGTGCCCTTGCTAGTACATTGGAAGGTTTCTCGATGAACACCTCGAAGCAGTCCACAATGGCAGCCACATTGTTCCCAAATGACTCCACAAACTGGTGTGGCATACTGGTCAATAAGCATTCCCTACTTGGCCAGTGCACCAATGGACACAGCTGTGCGTACATCACACCAAGGGTATGGTGAAAGGCATCGGCGACTGTTGTCCTATGTACTCTAAACAGATGGCTGAGGTGCTGTATTGGAAGGTCCAGTCTGAGGCGCATTAAAGTCAATAGGACAAGCTGGAAGGGTGAGAGCTTCTTCATTCTACCTTGAGGCAGATCTGGAGTTAGGTAGAGTAGAAGTGTCTGGAACAATGCAAAGTTTGGAAGCCCCGTGTAATACTTCACTGTGTTATCATCACCACTCAAAGTTCTCATTCATCCTGTACGTATCAAGCTCACGCTTCAGCTGTCTGTTTTCTTCAAGAAGATTGTTGATAACATCTCGTCTAGATGTGCAGAGTCCACATTCCATGTCCGGGTCAGCTGGCGGCTGGTCTAGGGCTGGCGGCGGCGGCGCCTGCGGCTGGTCTAGGGCTGGTGGCGGCGGCGCCTGCGGCTGGTCTAGGGCTGGTGGCGGCGGCGCCTGCGGCTGGTCTAGGGCTGGTGGCGGCGGCGCCTGCGGCTGGTCTAGGGCTGGTGGCGGCGGCGCCTGCGGCTGGTCTAGGGCTGGTGGCGGCGGCGCCTGCGGCTGGTCTAGGGCTGGTGGCGGCTGCAGCTGGTCTAGGGCTGGTGGCGGCTGCAGCTGGTCTAGGGCTGGAGGCGGCGGCGCCTGCGGCTGGTGTTGGGCTGGAGGTGGCTGCCGCTCCAGTGGCAGGGACCTGCGCCTTACTTGCCGCTGATATCTCGCTTCATCTGTTTTTTGTACATCATTGTGGCCTAACAACAGGGATGGTGTCCAGTCAGGGTGGTTCTCCAACATCTCATATGCTGGTTTACCTACACGAGAATAATAACAACATATAATTAATATAATAATTTGCACAATCTATGTAATCAATGCTTTAAACTGGCAACTATGTCATGAACAGCATCTCAAGTACTTTTTAGGTCACCTCATAATGTCATATGAAGGTTTATGTACAACAGAATAATTAGATTATGTGTACAATCTATGTAATCTATGCTTTACACTGGCAAAGACCTCGCAGAACACGTGCTAAGTAAGAAACAGCCTGAGAGGGTAACAAAGACACAGAGACAAAGGCACTACAGAAACCATAATAACATATGCTAACCTACACTTCCTAGCTTTAAGAGACAACTACATAAATACATTTTTAGAGAACGTACCAGAGTGAAAATGCAGAGAACACACTCTCGTCGACAGGGGTGTGTGATCGAAAGTAAGGTCCTTTCTTCTAATTGCAGCCAACCAAGCAATCCGACGTCTCCTTGTCAGGTCAGAGAATTGCTCCCCTTGATGCTTTTTCCATTTCGGTAACCTAAAAAACTGTATCCCGTTGTTACTAGGTTTTCCATATCCATCGTGGGAGGTATTGGAGCAGTTTTTAACGCAGCAGTTATTTCCAGGCATGATAAAACAGTGCGGAATAGCAAGAACCTCCGCTACTACCGCGTTCACAACACACGTAAACAAACTGTACTGCCGCCACCGGTGCGCAGCCAATATGTCGGCAAAGGGGGGATGGGGAGGGGGGACTCTGTGCAGTGTTGCCAACTCCTCAGTAAGGAAAGTAGCTATTGGCTGTCCCAAAAGTCGCTAGAAGTCGCTAAATGACGTCATCGCCTAATTTGCATAATTTGCAATTTGCAAATAACTGTAACGGACGCTGTAGGAGAGAGGAATAAGGTCGTGGGAGAGACAAAAGTGAGTAAAAACACCCTAAATATGTTTAGAACTACAAATGTACAAAAATAATTTCAACATTAACAACATTTAATGATTTTAATGCTTTGTCTAGATCCACATTACACACATCAGTTTTGTCCTGTATTGTTAAATGTTATAACAGCAAATGTAATCAAAAGATTGTTATGTAGGGTGAAATTGCTAGCTCTACAACCAACCCTCCTCCTTTATCCGGGCTTGGGACCGGCAAAGTGACCCAAAAGACACACTCTGGCAGAGTTACTTAGGTTTATTTTTGTAAGTATTTTTTTTTTTTCATAGTTTGGCATAACAAATGATTTAATGTGACCCACTACTGAGAGAAAACAGAGTCACGGACAGAGCTGCCGCGGATGGAGTGGGGGGTAGTGGGGGGTGGCGGTGGTAGGAGTGGCCGGGGAGCTTTGGATGTGTGGTGGTGGTGGAGCTGAAGTTCAGTCTGCAGCAGCCTGAAAACTTCCTGTGCTTTTGAGTCTCCTCTCTCTCTCTCTGCTCCGCCCATAGACTGTAGCTGGGACTGCTGCGCAAGGCTACTGTGAGACTGGCCGCCTGTAAGTGCTTTGGGACGGGGGAGGGGCTCACGTTGAGGACAGCAGAACAATACGTGCTTCACGAGTCTCCAAAACACCAGATAAGTCGCCAAAACACCAGATAAGTCGCCAATAACACCAGAAAAAGTCGCTAGATTTGTCGCTAGTCGCTTTTTTGAAAAAAAGTCGCTATAGGGGTCTGAAAAGTCGCTAAATCTAGCGACAAAGTCGCTAAGTTGGCAACACTGACTCTGTGCCGTGACGTCAACTCCTCATTCTCAATAAGCCAGTATCTGGATATTCTAATAAAGGCTACTCAATTTCTGCCTTTGTTCTTTCTTTTTACAGTGAATAGAACAGGGATGACCACACTTTTTAAAACTGAGATTTATATTTACACTATTGAGCTGTGATCTATCTTCGCTATATGTGGGTGTTTACCATTAGGAATACAGTGTTGTGCGTGAACGAGTTCAAAAGAACGCGTTCATTGAACACGCTCATTTTTTCGTGAACGTTGAACTGAACGCAACACATTTTTAAAAAAAGAACTTGAACGTGAATTAGTTCATTTTATGTGTCATGAACGGCAGACATCACTAAGAAACGTTGGAATCTGTTTTCTCTTTTGAAACGCAACGAGAGAAAGTTCCTCCCTCCTGTATTCTCGCACTTTTTCCGCCAAAATCTAAAAATTCCTACGGTTTCCACCGTATGTGAACGCACCCCGACTCCGTGTTGCGGTGCGGCGCTGTGAGCTGGTGCTTTTCACATGTGCCCGAGTCGTGATGAAAACACAGGGTGAGTTAGCGACAAAGTTTACACAGTTTACATTTGACATAAAGTATAGACACACGCACTGCAGCGCATTACTGTTTGTAGTTTCTGAGCAGAGATGGGACAATTCCGTTTTTCTCCCATTGAAAAGCATGTAAATCTTGTCTGTTTTGTAGTCAAAAGGCTCTCCTCCTGTGGGTGTACAGGAGATATATAGATATATATTATATAATTATATATATATATATATATATATATGATATATATATATGATATATATTATATAATATCTATATATATTATATATATATTTATAATATATGTAAGCAGGCCCGTCGGAAGGGCTGTGCGACCTGTGCCGTCGCACAGGGCCTCGCACCACACAGGGCCTCACAATCCTTCCTTTTTTTATTTTTTTATTAAATAAATATACTAGTTCAAGAGTCCCCAAAGGGCGGACTGCGCTCTAAATTCGGACCCCTAATCCCCTTTCTCTGGACCTCTGATTTATTTTGTTCAAAAGTACATTATTACAAGTGAAGTCAAATTTTCACCAAAAGCGATTTGTAAACAGGCAGGCGCGAGGGCAGCTATGTACGCAGCGGGTCCTCCGAAAAAAAACTTTACGGAGCTGTCAGATAACTTTAGCAGTGTCTTGAGTGAAGAAAGTAACGGGAATGAGCCCAGTGTACGGAGAGATGGATACTCGCGTCTTCCGTGTGAGGAGGAAGGAGAGAGGAGTGTGATCAGAGGAGGAAGAGGAGGAGCAGCGAAACAAGTGTGTGAGCGCTGTTATTGTCAATGTTGAGCCCGAATATCCAC